ATATTTCCATTTTAAAAAATTAAGTTGCAAGGGAACATTCAATTTTAAATTTACAATGTTAGCTATATCCAGCAACAACAACTACAGCATTTACACTACCATCTATTTAAAAGGTTTGGATTACACCATGGCTCAAAAAAATTGGGACTGTAATATACTCTGTATTATACTGTCCTAAAACAAAGAAGTAGGAAGAAAAAGTATGATTCTTATGCTACTACACAGAAAAATGCAGTCTATGTTCCTCCCGATACTGGGTTGTTCCTTTTTCACACATGGAATGTGCAAGAGCAGGGGCTGGAAAGGAACGAGTGGGAGAGATGGTATGTGGCACTTAATTTCAGTAAATATTTTAGAAAACTTTACAGATGACCAAGCAGCTTTCAAATAAGGCACTCTTGATACTGCCTAAAGGAATGGCAAGGGTATGTTTTTGTAGACTGTAAACATACATATAATTGTTAATGAAAACATTAAGTGCCAACAAGCTATTCTTCCACTGCAATAACCACACTGCCCTATGTTTTGTGTCATATTTCTCAGCAAGTCTGAAAGACTAAGACATCAGATGCCTATAGAATTCACATAAATGTGTATTATTAAATAAGACATGTTCTATGTGTGCAAAAAATTCACACTGCATATCCTTTGTGCAGCAGTATTTCCAGTGTCTCATTTATAATTCCATGGCTGTATGCTCCTGATACTTAAATTTTTAATCTATGTCTTGCTGTTTTAGCTACTTAAGACTATACTTGTATCACATACTAGAACAGCATTCACTTTGTTATATACATTATGAATACTAGCAATAAAGTAATCAATCTTAAAAAAATATGGAAATATGATTTCTGGTTTGCTGTCTGGCATGTAAGAACTTAGAAAGTGTCACTCCCGTCCACATAAGAAAAAGCTGAACAAGTGAAAACCAACAACTCTTCTTAGGGCCATTGGAGAACAAAGATCACAGAGAGAACAACTGTCCCTAAAATTAGAAAGATAGGCAGATACAGAAAATCACAAATAACCATAAAAAGAAACCTCCAGGGTATCCAGGACCAGACTAGGAAAACCTAAACTGTAATTGATGAATTGCTGGAAGATTAATGTAGACAACTCTGAGAGTTAAAATTTCCAGGGAAGCCCAATCTAGGAGCTACCCCACACTTCTGTGAGTTTTGCCTCAAGGAACTCTCTACCATGTTCTCAAAGTGCAGATCAGCGAAAAATCTCATGTGTTTCAGTCAAGAGTGGGGAATGGCAGCCATTTTTAAATAAGCCTAATCTGAAGAGAAACTATTATTATTATTTTTTTAATCCTCACCCGAGGACATTTTTCCATTTTTTGTTCAGATAGAGTGGGAGGGAAAGACAGGGGGAGAGAGAGAGAAACATCAACGTGAAAGGGACACATCGAGTGGCTGCCACCCGCACAACCAACCAGGGCCGGGGACAAACTGCAACTGAGGTACATGCCCTTAGCGGGAACCGAACCCGGGTCTCTCCGGACCGCAGGCCAACGCTCTAACCGCTGAGCCAAACCGGCCAGGGCTGAAGAGAAACTATTTTATCAGAGCCTAATTGACTAGGACTTTACAAGAAAATAAGCAGCTTTGGGGAAGAGAATTATCCAACTCTAGCCCACACTAGCCTTCCACATAGGGAAAGAGAAATACCCAACTCCAGCCACCTCTAGCCTTTTTGCTTGAACAAACAAAGGAGCAAACAAAACAAAACAAAATTGAGAAGTACTTGTGTTCATCACAGCCCAGGGGCATAGGCTCACTAAGACTGAAACCTAACCACAGCAGTATATAAAGCTTCGCCTCTCCCACCACATCATTATGTAACAGGACTTCCATATAACAGGGAAATATTTAGGAAGTCTCTAGAGAAATCCAAAGACAAAAACAAGGACACTGAAGGAAATTTTATCCTCTGACATCTACAGCTACAGCAAACAGTGTGGTTTAACACCTAACCAGATAAATATAAAACCTCATAATAAAGGCCTACTTACCTCAGCTCCTTCTACCTGGTATTATCATGTCTAACTTTCAACAAAAAAATTACAAGGCATACTAAAAGCAGTATGACAGCAGGACTCAGTAAGGTGTCTGCATAAAAAATTAGTGTATAGCCCAGCTGGTGTGGCTCAGTGGTTGAGCATGGACCCATGCACCAAGATTCCCAGTCAGGGCACATGCCCAGGTGGCCAATCGATGTTCTCTCTCATCCAAGTTTCTGTCTCTCTCCCCCCCCCCTTCCTCTCTCTCTAAAAAATAAAGTAAAATACATTAAAAAAATTAGTGTATAAAATTATTAGTTTCCTAGACATTAGTAAAATCCAATTAGAAAATGTAGCAAACAGAATTTCATGCACAAGAATACAGAATCCATAAAATATCTAGAACAAACCTAACAAGAAATGTGCAAAACTTACATAATGAAACTTTTAAGCTTTACTAGAAGAATATGAAAAGGTCTATATACATGAAGACATCATATGCCATGTTTCTCAATGAGATTACTCAATTTTAAAGATGTCAATTCTCATCCAATTACACTCTAAATTTAATGCAATCCTAAAGTAAACATCTATAAAATATGCAATGTGAAACATCTCATACAAAGAAAAAACATTAAGAATAATAAGGACTTATATAACAATCCAGCTTTAAAAACAAGATATTACCAATAAAGTTGGAAAAGAAGATCTGTGAAGGAGATCTTTTCTATGAAACAGCAAAATACCATTAAGTAACAGCAGCCACTAAAACAGTATGGTACTGGTACAGGTATAAACACGTGCACCAAGAGTAAAATATATTTCAGAAACTGACTCTTAACCATATGAAAGCATAGTGTATAATAAAGATGACGCTTTAAATCACTAATAAAAAGACTATTTTATAAACTGTTTTTAGATAGCTGATTAGCATGAAAGAATAGTTAAGCCCCCATCTCACACCACACAAATCAACTAATCTTCCATACTTCATGGATCAAAGCGCTAAATATAAAAACCAAAATTATAAAAGTAGCAAACAGGAAGATGGTGGACAAGTAGCACCAGGAATCTACATTGCCACCCCAACAACCACAGGGGCAGTCGGCCTGATGTAACTATTTTACAACTTTGGAGTCTGTTCAAGGCTTACAACTTCCAAGGAAAGGCCTGGAAGGTAAACCACAGTTAGTTTCAATGTCAGCCCTTAGCAATTAACCATCAGCCAACCCTTGTTGTGTTCCTACACAGCTATGGTAGCCAAAGTGGACCAAAAAGGAGATGGTCCTCCAAATATCACTACTTCTGATCACAGAGAAGAAAGAGGTAGGCAGCCATGGTCAGAACACCTTGCTGCACTACTGGTTGCAAGCCGCTCTTCCTCTGGCTGCAGTGACTTCAGGAGATTTAAAAAGTCAGCACCTATTCTACCTCTCCCCCAATCCTTCATTTTTCATCCTTTTGGGAGTGAGACATAACAGACTAGGACATTCAAAACAACTGTAGCCTGGCTGGTGTGGCTCAGTGGTTGAGCATCGACCCATGCACCAAGAGGTCGCCAGATCAATTCCAGGTCAGGGCACATGCCCAGGTTGTGGACCCAATCCCCAGAGAGGGGCGTGCAGGAGGCAGCCAATCAATGTTCTCTCTCATCGATGTTTCTATCTCTTTCTCCCTCTCCCTTCCTCTCTCTCTAAAATCAATATAGAAAAATATTAAAACCAAAAATAACTGCATATATGAGGAAAATTAGAAAGTGACTGTGCATGCCTAGGGAAAGGCTTAGAAAAGATCTTAAGATTATATCTCATTCATCCTTTTATGTTTTTACAAAAAACAAAACAATAAACCATAAACTCACTTATTATTTTTTTTTTTTTTTTAAAGTTTTGGTTCTTTATTTTATTTTATTTTTTTTTTTTATCCTCACCAGAGGATATTTTTCCATTTTTTGTACAGATAGAGTGGGAGGGAGAGAGAGGAAGGGGGAGAGAGAGAAACATCGACGTGAAGGGACACATCGAGTGGCTGCCACCCGCACGACCAACCAGGGCCGGGGACAAACTGCAACCGATGTACGTGCCCTTAGCGGGAACCGAACCCGGGTCTCTCCGGACCGCAGGCCGATGCTCCAACCGCTGAGCCAAACTGGCCAGGGCCATAAACTCACTTATTCAGCCAGCCAGCCAGCCAGCCAGCATGTAACAGATTCTCCAAGGTATTAGATGTAATTCTTTAGATACAAAGTAAATACAGTCAAGGCCCCTACAGAAATAAAAATGGAGAGACTAAAGAACAGTTATTTACTGTGCAAGAAGTTCCATGCCATAATAGAAAAATGAACTAAAGAGCTAAGTCAGGAGACAGCTGAGGAAGATTTTGTAGAGGTGACTCTTGACAAACAGAAAATTGGAAGTTAGAGGGCAGGATTCTGGCAGAGGTAACAATATGTGCATAGCTTAGAACATACAAAAAAGTGGGGCATGGAATAAAAGAAGTCATCCAAGACCAATTACTGTATTTAATATAACTTTGGGCAAAAAACTGAATCTATTTCCACTGAAAAATAAGGATAATGGTATCTTCCTCAGAGGGTTGCTGTGAGGAAAATGAGATGGTAAAATGAAAAGAATGTGAGTGAAATCTGGTCTGGCTATCACATCTTGCACCCCTAATTTCCAAGACTGACTTAGCTGTTTTACCTCCTTCTCTCACGTTTCCTCCAGAAATTATCTACTTGGTAAAAGAGCACAACCTTCTCAGTCAGGTACAATGGTATAGCACAGTTCTTTACTCAAGAAACATTATTTTTTCTTCCTTCCTTTCTTTAAAAAAACAACAAACATGCTCAGAGATCTACTGAACTACTCTCTGTGACACTCCTTAGAACTGCCCTGCAATTACTGCTAGGGTCTTGATTCTCAGCTTGAGCACCAGCGGTATGTTTCATAAGCACCCCACCCAATCAGTATGTATATTACTTCATACTTACAGGCTGAGGCTGTTCTGCAATACAGCAGTTGAAACACAACCAGAATTCACTCATGCTTATAGGCCAAAGTGTAAATGAGCACCAAGGAAGTTTCCAAATCTCTACTCGGGAAGTTCACAAAGCACGCTCCTCAGTATGATGAATGTCCAATGATGTCAAAATAATAATTTTATTACTTCTCTGTTTTTGATCCTGGAAGTCAAATATCTCATACAGTCAATTTAATTAAGAAAAAGACAGAATGTTTCCTTTCTTTGCTTGTGGTCCTACAGAGACTCGTTTCTAACCACCAGGAGGGTATAAATGTTGTCTTGACTCAGGTAGTCTAGAAAAAAAAGAAAAAGTAAAAGAAAACAAGTTACTTTACTTATCCTTAGAAGCTTTTACTTCTTAAATCTGTGATAAAATTAAGAATAAATATTTCCCCAAAAATTAAACACTGAAAAAAAAATCAAGCCTTTTTTGAGTATCAGGTGTTAGGGATATAGCAGTGAAAGAAGACAGAAATCCTTGCTTTCATAGAGCATTCTATTTCATGGCTATAAAAGTATTTAAGTTATTCTAATAAGCTCTTTAAAATCACTAATTCAAACACCATGATTACCATACAATAGTCTCTAATTCCAAAAAGCAATGCCAATCATTTTCATACAGGTTTCTTCAACTGCATCCCTTGTTCTCAAAGACAACCCAGATAGTAAGTGGCATAGCAATCAACTCTTTTTAGATATTCAAACAGCTATAACTCATTAATAACCATAAACAAAATTATCACCTTCTCCACTGAAATTAGAATGGCACATGAGAGATAAATGAGGGTTAGGTTATACTTCATTTTGAATCAGGATATTAGGTGCCTGCACCCCCCACAATGACCAGAATGAGTGTTAGTCAAAATAGTTTACATCCTGAGGTGGCCAAGCAAGCTTTGTCAATCAGAATCCATGCCAGACAATCTTAAATCTATCTGAAGTTGGACAGAGCGAACCTACCTTGTCTTCTTTTTTATTTTTAATTCTGTTTTTAATCCTCACCAGAGGATATTTTTCCACTGACTGTCAGATGGAGGGGAAGGAGGAGGGGGGAAGAGAGAGAGAAACATCGATGTGAGAGAGACACATCGATTGGCTGTCCCCCACCCCCCCAATGACCCTGACCAGGGCCAGGGATTGAACCTGCAACCAAGGCACATGCCCTTGACAGGGAATTGAACCCAAGACTCTACAGTCCATGGGCTGACGCTCTAACTGCTGAGCCAAAGTAGCCAGGGCTTTTCTTCTTGACTGACAAGCTGTAGAGTTGAAGGTTGACTTTAGCCAAACATGTTCCAAATTTCAAGCAGCAACGAGAGGAGCAAGTCTATTTCCAGTCATCCCTAAGACCAGTGTGACCTGTATACCTGATGTTTGGTTTTGTAAAACAATAGTTTTCCCTTTTAAGACTGAAGTGTGTTTACAAGATGTCCAGTATACCACTGGACATACAGCTCTGAAGCCAAGAAGTCTTGGAATCATCAGCAAATTATAACTGAAGCAATGAATTCCAAAATCTAGGGGGCCATGTGGGAGGCAACCAATCAATGTGCCCCTCTCACTCTATCTGAAGATAAATAGAAAAATATTCTCGGGTAAGGATTTTTTTTTTTTTTTATCCTCACCCGAGGACATTTTTCCAATTATTTTTTGTACAGATAGAGTGGGAGGGAGAGAGAGAGAGAGAAACATCGATGTGAAAGGGACACATCGAGTGGCTGCCACCCGCACGACCAACCAGGGCCGGGGACAAACTGCCACCGAAGTACGTGCCCTTAGCGGGAACCGAACCCGGGTCTCTCCAGACCGCAGGCCGACGCTCTAACCGCTGAGCCAAACCGGCCAGGGCAAGGATTTTTTAAAAAAAATTAAAAGAAAAAAGAATGACAGAAAACTTCCCTAACTGGTGAAGGAAACAGACATACAAGTCCAGGAAGCACAATAATAAAGCATGAATCTAGGACCCTGACTCTACAAAGTCTGGAGGATAAGTCCTCTAACTACACAAAAATGACATGTTAATTTTTATGCATATATTCAAAGAGGAAAATCAGAAAGAAGAAAATTTACATTTTTGCCATAGTAAAAATTCAGAGCCTGGGATATTTATTTTCAAGCAGGAGTGAACATTCCTCATTTCACCCAAACTCCAAAACAAGGAAGTGGCTGTCTTGGAATTGGCTTCGTCCACTGAACTGGGTAAATTCTGCAAAAGTTTTTAAGCTTTATAAGAATAGTATGTTTCATGCATTTTCTCCCTAGCAAGAATGTAATAGCGAAGGACCAAATTCACAATATCACAAACGTTATTTCAGTGTTGCTATCTAACAAGTTTAATTCCACCCTGTATCAAAGACATTGGCCACTAAGAATTCATTGTGAAATAAAATTGCCTTCAACTAATTCTATGAGAACATACATGCTTTTGTTTGACACTGAAAATTCTTTATACTCATCATTGTTGTAACAGACAGATATGGAGATACTCCGAAGTTTCCATATCTACTGTATTTGACATTAGATGTCTTAAAATGTACTGTTTGATTTATTCCACCATATTTTCTCATCTACAGTAAAGCTAGGCAATTTCCTTTTTTTTTTTTATCCTCACCTGAGGACATTTTTTGATATTTTGTTCAGATAGAGTGGGAGGGAGAGAGAGAGAGAGAGAGAAACATCGACGTGAAAGGGACACATCGAGTAGTTGCCACCCGCACAACCCAACCAGGGCCGGGGACAAACTGCAACTGAGGTACGTGCCCTTAGCGGGAACCGAACCAGGGTCTCTGGGGACTTCAGGTCGACGCTCTAACTGCTGAGCCAAACCGGCCAGGGTGGCAATTTCCTTTTTATTTATAAATTACCTTTGCCAGAAATCACCTTCAAATATTAATTTTACATTGGAAGGCATATTTTCTTCTTTTTAAAATATATATTCCTTCTGTTTAATACTTAAAATTAGTAAATGGTTTCCTAATTTATAATCCATACATAATACTTATCACCCTAAATTTTCCCAAATTCAAATTTCCTTCCCAATTAGAGTTTAACTATTCCTTATTTTGAGAATTTTAAAATATATTATTTCCCTACCTCCATGTACTATAAAAATGACTTTCACAATATTTCCTTTCTAAATGTTTAGTGTAAGAATGACTGCTTAAAGTACAATTTCTGCTTTTATTTTCATAGAAGAGTCAGAAAGAATATACAGCTTTAGTTAAGAATTTCCACCTACAAAACAGATCTGCTGAAATGTATATTCAAACCAAGGGGATGTTTGCAACTCCATGGGTTTGTTTTTTGTTTTTGTTTTTGTTTTTTTTATCCTCACCCGAGGATATTTTTTCCATTTTTTTGTTCAGATAGAGTGGGAGGGAGACAGAGGAAAAGAGAGAGAGAGAGAGAGAGAGAAACATCGATGTGAAAGGGACACATCGAATGGCTGCCACCCGCACGACCAACCAGGGCCGGGGACAAACTGCAACCGAGGCATGTGCCCTTAGCGGGAACCGAACCCAGGTCTCTCCAGACTGCAGGCCAACGCTCTAACCGCTGAGCCAAACAGGCCAGGGAAACTCCATGGGTTTTTATTAAGTAAATACATAAATCTTAAAATGTTTTGGACATGCCTTAGACTGTCATAACAATAAATTTTCCATCTTCTTGCTTTTCTAAACAAACTTCCTTTTTACAATTTTTTTCAAAAGTATATATAGTTAAAAACATTTATATATAAACACCTTTAGAGAAGTAATGAATTCAGCACGAATAATTTTAACATTGCCACTAATACAGTAATAGTTATTTTCACTTTTTTGGCTGAAAGTTGCTTAAAACATATCCATATTGAAAACTTTTTATTTTTTTAAATCTTAAGATAACAAAAGGAGTGTTACTTTGCAACAACATCAACATCTGAACTTGGCTTTAAACACAGGTCAGCACATTCTGCACATAAATAAGGGCTCAGACTGGTCTACTGCACCAGAGAATATTCACAAACTCAGATTTTAGACATAAGATTTTAGAAAAGCTTGAAGTGAGTTATCAAACCACTTAGTGACTGGCACAACTTCCTTGAATTAAAACTTCACTCTCTTGACTTTTAAATAGATTGGCATGAGTAAAAAAAGTAGTATGTCATGGCAAAAATACTCAACACCGTAAGTTTCTTCTCCTCCTCACTTTCTGCACCTAACTCAAATATTGCAGATATATAAAATATATATTTATTTATTTATTTTTGGAGAGGGAGGCAGAGAAAGAGAAACATCAATGTCAGAGCAATGTCGGCTGCCTCCTGCATTCCCCCTTACCAGGGATCAAGTGTGAAACCCAGACATGTGCTCTGACTGGGAATCCAATCAATAACCTTTGGGTATACCAAACAATGCCCAAAAGCCAGGGCAAATGCTGCGGGTATTTATACCTGTGTGAACAGATGTGTTGCTGACAATTTGAAGAATTTATGTTCCAACATCCTTCCCACAATTTAGTGACACTGCTTTTTAGGCCAACTTACAAAGAAACAATAATAAAGCCTTGACTTGAAAAACAGGACAATAAGGCATACCTTTAGCTAAATATATACACTGTTAATCTGAAATACTTCAACTCAGTTGAGGTATTAAGCATGCTTAATTTGTGTGAGCAGAATCAAAAGTTTAAAGTTTATACTTTGTAATAAAGTATTTGTGGCAGTTGTTAGTACTTCATTTATTTTTAGAAATTTAGCTTGGGCAAGTGACAAGCTCTATCACCAATTATAAAATGCACTGCTACACTGCCAATGTCACAAGTCTGAAATGAAAACCAACTTAGATGATATACTATATGAAAGTACTGTATATATTATAAAGAGCTATAATATGTGATATAAGCATGATATAAGATGCTTTTATTATCAAAATTAAATAGCAAGCAGAAGAATGAAGTAACAAGAACAAATACTTTGCAACAGCAGCAAACTTTTAGGAAAAAACGAATTGTGGTATATTCATACAAAAGAATTCTATACAGAATGAAAATGATGGTAGCTTCATGCAACACTTGGGATAATTCTCACTGACATGTTATTGAGGAAAAGCAGCAAAGCACAAAATAATACACATGGAATGTTTTCATTTACATAAATTTCAAACACAAGTTAAACTAAACAGTTTTGTTTGAGATGCACACACAAGTAAAGCAAGGGAATTATTATAATAAAAGTCAAGAGGGGGTTACCTCTGGTGCTAGGGGCAGGGATTGAGAATAGGAAGAGATGCATAAGGCCTCCTGGAATGTGAAA